GTCTCTTGGTATTTCTGGCGAGTGCATGCACCCTGTAGCAAAAACCTCTCCGAAAAAAAAAAAAAAAGAAAAAGAAACAAAGACCATGGTTCGAGTCCTGGACCTGGCAGCTTGCTTTCTCACTTTTTTTCTCTCTCTCACTCTGTTTCTCTCTGGTCAAATTGAAGCAAACTAATAAATAATAAAGTTAAATAAATTAATTCTTTAAAAAAATTAAAAAGTAAGACATTTGGAGCAGGCAGGTAGCATGGTGGTTGAGGTGCTGGACTCCCACATGGCCAACCATCATTCAAATCCTCGACCTGGCAGCTTGCTTTCTTACTCTTCCTTTCTTTCTTTCTGTCTCTCTCTGGTCAAAACTGAAGAAAAATAAATACAATTTTAAAAATAAATCAAAATCTGGAACCAGTAGGTAGCATGGTGGTTAAGGTGCTGGACACTCCCACATGGCTGACCACAGTTCGAGTCCTGGACCTGGTGGCTTGCTTTCTCACTTCTCCTCTCACTCTCTCTCTATGTCTATGTGTGTGTTTCTCTCTGGTCAAATTAAAAAAATAAGTGAATGAATAAATAAAATGAAATAAATTCTTTTTTTTTTTTTAAAAAGGAAAATAGACTTTACTTAAAAAAATTAAAATCTTAAAAAAAAAGTAAGATATTTAAGTAAATGGTATACAAGAGTAGTTCATGAATATATTATGACAAAGGCTCTCTACATGAACGTAAGAGAACAGTTTTGGAAAGAGTAATTTCTTTCTTTTTTTTTTTTTTTTGAAAGGTTTTCGCTATAGGGCCTGTGCACTCACCAGACAGAGTGACATAGAGACAGAAAGTGAGAAAACACCCCCCAGAGGGGATGATCATGCCGCAATCCCTTCTTCTCCATTCTCCTCTCGGGATCTTGGGCACTCATGCACATGCGCCCGGCATGAGTTTTAAGCCGCTGGGTCCGGGACGTGAACCGCAGTCAACTACATGGGAGTCCAGCAACATAGCCATTACGCTAACTGCTGGTTCCCTGGAAAGGGGAGTTTCATGGGCACATTCTTATAACCATGAAACGAGTTGAAATCACCTGCCAACAGTTAGTATACCACCAATCTTATCCCAGGTTTAAATCATAACTATACTAACTTTTCCTCTGATCTTTAAGTATTTGAAATAATGATGAATTACCTTACAGAACATACAGGATTCTTAAAGGAATGATAAACCCAAGTCTGACATAGAACACACAAGTAATGCCTGATATGAACAACTTTTGCTTGGACTGCAAAACAGAAATGAATATAGTGCATTAGGCTACGTGTGTAGTGAAAAGAATCTAAATAAATATCTTGGACATATATTTAATATAGCCATATTTACCAATGACCATACCTGGAAATATTCTTTTTCTTTTTTTGGGGGGGAGAGGTTTTCGCTATAGGGTGAGTGCACTCGCCAGACAGACAGAGACAGAGAGACAGAAAGCGAGAAATCACCCCCCAGGGGGGATGGCCACGACGCGATCCCTTCTCCTCCATTCTCCTCTCGGGATCCTGGGCACGCACGCACACGTGCCCGGCATGAGTTTTAAGCCACCGGGTCCAGGACGTGAACTGCAGTCGACTACATGGGAGTCCAGAGACATAGCCATTATGCTAACTGCTGGTCCCGGAAATATTCTTTTTCTACAGATGGCCTATGTACATCATGCAATTAGTTACCTCAGCAGACCTGAGGCTTTGGTCATACCAGATTTCTGTGAGTCCTTTTCCTTTGCTGGTTTCACTAAGTATCCTTTTCCTGTAATAAACTGTAACCATGAAAATAACAGCTTTTCTAGGTCCTGTGAGACAAATGAATCATTGAACCTCAAGGTAGTCTTGGGAACCCTTGACATAATTTTACAGTAAAATTTATAACATAGTAAAATTTGCATTTAATGAAGGGAATTTCATCTAATTTCGAGGTTTGGTCTGAGTAACATCATTTCCAAAGAGGCAGAAATACTAGTACATACTGACAGCAATGCCTTCTAGAATGTGGATTTCTTTACTAAGGTCTAAAAGGGATAAGGAGGGTAGTTCCTGGCCAAGAAGAGGAAGACCCTTCTGCTGAATGAAACGTGCCGCCCCATTACCATCTGTTCTTTTCTTTAATTAGGACACAGGTAATTTTCTGGAAGTCTATAAAATGGAATTATTAATGCCTTCTCCTCAGTTGTCACTACTGACCTATAGTCGAGAAGAAAAAAACTATCCACTTTTCTGATCTTAGGTTAATTTTGTGTTTTATTATTACCATTTTTTTAGAGGTTTTTGCTATAGGGCACGTGCGCTCACCAGAGACAGAGAGACAGAAAGTGAGAAATCACCCCCTGGGGGGATGGCCATGCTGCAATCTCTTCTCCTCCATTCTCCTCTTGGGATCTTGGGCACACACGCACATGTACCTGGTGTGAGTTTAAGCCGCCGGGTCTGGGACTTGAACCATGGTCAACTACATGCGAGTCCAGCAACACAGACTTTACACTAACTGCTGGTCCCTATTATTATTATTTTTAAAGAGAGATTTTTGGGGCGTATGTGCTGGCTGGAGAGACAGAAAGAGACAGAAAGCAAGAAATCACCCCCTGGGAGGATGGCCATGCCTCAATCCTTTCTCTTCCATTCTCTTCTTAGGATTTTGGGCATGCACATGCCCAGCATGAGTTTTAAGCTGCTGGGTCTGGAACTCAAACCGTGGTCAACTACATGGAGTTCAGCGATGTAACCATCACACCATTACCATCACATGCAATTTTGTACTTTAAAAAAAATGATGTGTTGGAACCAGGAGTTGGCATAATGGCTATGTCGCTGGACCCCCATGTAGTTGACTGTGGTTTGAGTCCTGGCAGCTTAAACTCACACTGGGCGCGTGTGCGTGTGTGCCCAAGATCCTGAGAGGATAACAGAGGAGAAGGGATTGCGGCTGGCCATCCCACACTGGAGGGTGATTTCTCGCTTTCTGTCTCCTCTGTCTTTCTGGTGAGCGCATGTGCCCGATAGCAAAAACCTCTCCAAAAAGAATTAAATAAATAAAAATAAAGAAGGATGTGTCAGAAAAAATATGATCTGGCCCAAAGTCTCAATTATATAAGGATACTCTTAGAGGGTCATGGGACAGTCCTTTTCTTTGGAATGTGCAGGTGGGAGCACTCTAAATTCACTATGTTAACCCTTTACTACACAGAGATTAATTCCATAAAAATTTTGTAGATTAAAAGATCACCAAGGATTATAGCATTCAAGAGGTGTTAGTTTATCAGATAAAAACATCTCAGCAGTATGGCTCAGTGACAATCCTATCACTTTTTTTTTTTTTGGAGAGGTTTTTGCTATAGGGTGTGTGCACTCACCAGACAGAGAGAGACTGAGAGACAGAAAGCAAGAAATCACCCCCCGGGGGGATGGCCACGCCGCAATCCCTTCTCCTCCATTCTCCTCTCGGGATCTTGGGCACGCGCGCACACGTACCTGGCATGAGTTTAAGCCACCGGGTCCGGGACGCGAACCGCAGTCAACTATATGGGAGTCCAGCGACATAGCCATTACACTAACTGCTGGTCCCGACAATCCTATCACCTTATAAGGCTTCCCAATTCCCTAGCCAACTTAGTTATTCTCTTTCTCTTTGGGAAGCTCTTAATTGTTCCCAGTTTCTAGGGAAATTATCAATGATAATTGTCTAATATGGAATTACCTATGTTAAGAATGAGGTTTTCATTCACCTCATTGCTAATCAGAAAAAGTACCTCATTATTATACTGGTTTTCATTCTGAGTCATAGGCCTAAAGTGTTAATAAAAAGCCTAGAGTCTGAACAAACTATACTATTACCAGCTCACCAAATTCAATGATTTAGGATTCCCTGCCTTTCACTTAAAAGCTTTGGCAAGTTAAATGCAGAATGAAAACTTAGGACACTTTGTCTAGGAATATCAGATGAGCTAACCTATGTCTTAACTTTCCGTTCCCTGCCCCAGTAACTATTACTTCGTGTTACTTTACAGTTCATCATTACCATAAAACTTAAATACTATTTTTTTATGTTAACAGTAGAAATAGAAGCATGTTAAAAGCCTCTATTGAAAGAGAATAATATATGCAGGGGTTGAAAGCAAGACAATATATTGAGACTGCCTGGTACTGAACCTCAATCCCAATACTTAGTAACTGTGTGATCTTGATCACGTTTCTTACCTTTTGTGCTTCAATTGCTGCCTTTGTAAAATGGGAATAATCACAGTACCTTCCCCAGAGAGTTGTTACAAGGATTAAATAAACTCATATGTATAAAAAACTTATAATTGTAACTGCCATCTGATAAAAAAAATATGTTAAGTAATGACTATTACCACCATTATCATTAATACCACTACCACTATTCCAAGGAACTCAAGACATTTAATTTAGTTCTTTAATTTTCATCTTACCTCAAGTGTTATTAAGGGGGGGGCAGCTTATTCTCTTAACTGACAGGTAGTTGTTGTATAGTGGCCAAGAACATTTCATGAGTATCCCTACAACACATCTGCCTTACTGGTTTTATCAGTAAAATGGGGAATAGTAATAATTATCTCATAAGGCTATGTGGGAATTAAATACAAGGGTCATCAAAAGTTCAAGGAAATGTATATTATGAAAAAACCATGCGTTGATTAAAAAACTTTTTTTGTATCAAAATAAACTCATGTTTTAATTCCATTTCTCCATAAATATTTTGAAGTCTGCGAACTGAGATACCCATTCAAACAACCTGTTCTGTGGCATCACTGCATAGGACACGTGGATAACCCTGAACTCTGCCAGATACATTACATTTCACAATTACCTGCTTCCAGGTACTCAACCACCTCTGCAAAGATGAGATTTAATATGCTTCAAGGCACAAACCAGAAAAGGTGCTAGAAGAATAAATGAATTTAAAAAATAAAAACTGTCCCCTTCTTTCACATTCCCTGGTTAGGATACATTTCTTCAAAATAGTCAATGTGTGGAGGTTGGAGTATGTCAAGGGCAGAGAGCACCTGAGAAAAGGAGAAAAAAAAAAGTCAAATTTAGAGAACTAAAAAGGAAACAAAATTCCACATAAATTCAAGTAAATAATATTAACTGTTTAATAATTTAAGGCTTACAGTTGCCCACTGAAATTAACTAAACATACCAGTCAAGAAACACAGTCCTTAACATTAAGATGGACTTATAAACTTACTATCTAGAAAACCATTCTACCTAAACCAAACTGTGAGCGCCAACTGGGTTACAACACATGCTGACAAAATCCCTGTCTTTAATAATCAGCTGCTCTAAGAGCAAAAGGAGTCATATCTACCATTCACTCCTTTACTCTTCTGTTCCACAAATGTTTACTATGTGCATTCTACCTGGCAGGGCAGTGGTAAGCTCACAGCTTCTACTGATGAACAAAACTGACTATCATCCCTGCTTTCATGACTAGGGGAGAAGTAAGCATTAAACAGTTACATAAACATATAATTATGACATGTATCATTATGAAGGAAAAATGTAAAGAAAGGTGAAGGCAAAAAACCTTCCCTAAAGTAACACTATTCTAAGATTTGAAGGCTAGTTGATCAATGTTAAAGCAGGGTAAAGACACTGAAGCAGATTTAGAAATAGCAAGTCAGTGCTGTAGAACATAATGGAGAGGAGGCAGATAGTATAAAGTAGAAAAGGCAGGATATACGTCACACAAAATCTCCTTGAGTTATATTCAACGTATCGGATATTATTCTAAGAACAAGAAAGAAGTGAGTAGGGGGTGGGGGACTTTAAGACTTCAAGTCCTTTAAAAATATTTTTTATTAAAGAGAACTTCAAACATATAAAAGTAGGCAAGACGGTTTAAAGAATAACCATGTAATCAGACTCCGGCTTTAGTTATCCACACATGGCCACTCTTGTTTCATTTACTGGGTTGTAGGACAAGTCATGCTGTATTTTCCTGTTTTTCTATGCAAAAACGCATCATGACTTTTCTGACAACCAAATATATCCTCTACTTTTCCTACATAATTTTCAAGCATATTCTAGATTTATTTCAGCTATATGTTAAAGTATCTCTAACAGAAAAAAACACTTCTAGTTATTAAATCTAAAAACTTAAATGTTTTAAAATATCAAATACCCAGTGTTCAAAATTTCAATGTTCTTATTAAAAAAAAAGTTTGTTAATCCAAATCAGAAGATAATTAAGACTGATACATTATGACTGATTTATGTCTTTGAAGTTTTAACCTAATGATTTCTCCTTTTTCTCTTTTTTTTTTCCTCTTACAACTTACTTGTGGAAAGAAACCTTGTTTGTTTTAAAGCCAAGTATTGCTCACTTTAAAATTTTAAGTTAAGGGACCAGCAGTTAGCATAATGGCTATGTCGTTGGATTGCCATGTAATCAACTGCAGTTCGAGTCCCTGACCTGGTAGGTTAAACTCATGCCGGGCATGTGTGCATGCGTGCCTAAGATCTTGAGAGAAGGACCAGCAGTTAGCATAATGGCTATGTCGTTGGACTCCCACGTAGTTGACCTTGGTTCACATCCTAGACCCGGTGGCTTAAAACTCACGCCGGGCGCGTGTGCATGCATGCCCAAGACCCCGAGAGGAGAATGGAGGAGAAGGGATTGCAGCATGGCCATCCCCTCTGGGGGGTGATTTCTCGCTTTCTGTCTCTCTGTCTCTCTCTGTCTGTCTGGCGAGCGCACGCGCCCTATAGCAAAAACCTCTAAAAGAATCTTGAGAGGAGAATAGAGGAGAATGGACTGCGAAGTGGCCATCCCCCCTGGGGGTTGATTTCTCACTTTCTGTTTCTCTGTCTCTGTCTCTCTGCCAAGTACACATGCCCTATAGCAAAAACCTGTCTTTTAAAAATAAAACCAGTTAAACAAAGGTTTTATAACAGTTAATATGTTTTTTTCTTTTGGAGAGGTTTTTGCTATAGGGCGCATGCGCTCACCAGACAGACAGACAGAGACAGAAAGCAAGAAATCACCCCGCAGGTGGGATGGCCACGCCGCAATCCCTTCTCCTCCGTACTCCTCTCGGGATCTTGGGCACACACGCACATGCGCCCAGCGTGAGTTTTAAGCCACTGGGTCTGGGACACGAACCGTGGTCGACTACATGGGAGTTTAGCGACATAGCCATCACGCTAACTGCTGGTCCCACAGTTAATATGTTTTCATAACGCATATTTTTTTCAGAGGTTTTTGCTACAGGGCGTGTGTGCTCACCAGAAAGAGAGAGAGAGATAGAGAGATAGAAAGTGAGAAATCACCCCTCAGGAGGGATGGCCTATCCCTCCTCCTCCATTCTCCTCATGAGATCCTGGGCATGCACGCACACACGCCCGGCGTGAGTTTAAGCCACCGGGTCCGGGACTTGAACCACATGGGAGTTCAGCAACATAGCCATTACACTAATTGCTAGTCCCCATAAGGCATATTTTATCTTTCTTCTTTTTAATTAAAATGTTTATACTTAGAATTTTGGTATAAATGGAAAAACGACAGATTTTCCAGTTTCTTCAAATAATTATTTTTATCATATAAAAGATAAATGATTTCATTTCTATATTTTTTAGAACTTATAATTAGCGAGTGTCACAAATTCACATAAGTTTATTTCTCGTTATGTGACAGAATAATTTTTAACATGAACAACTGACACTTGAAGAAGGCAGTTAGAAATTAGTGTTTTACTTGACATCTTTTGGACTCTAAACTCTATATCTGAACAACATACATCCTGTCTTGGGGGGAAATAGAATGTAATGAGTGACAGCGTCCATTAGACAAAGCTATTTTACACTTCAAATCTATCTGCTATAATTAGAGGTTATCTACAAGAAAGTGACAGCCATATATTTTAAACCTCGATAGAGAAGAATGAAGCTTTCTTACTCCATATTTGATGAGACTTTTCATAGAAAAGCCATAGACAACAGGGTTTAGACACTTGTACTGCAGTCTTTTGCTGTGATTGTTAGCCGCAAAGGTACAATATTTTAAACTCTGCCTAGAATTTTGTAAATGCCTGTTGTTTTATCCTCTGGCTCTTTCTGCTTAAAAAATGTTTAACAAAGGATGGCATTCCAGTGTTTCTAGGTGGCAAAACAGTACTTAAACCAGTAGAAATGGTCCAGGAAACTTAGAAGTAATTATATAAGTAAGAAGAAATAGTAGCAGTTTTGAACTACTACTATTTCTTTATGCCTGACTCCCCATTTTAACAGCTGGAGTTCCTCTGTAACCCCACTATTATTTGAGAGAATAGAATATGGGAGATTAGCCTTATAATGTGAATAGGAGGCGGTTTGTAAAAATTTTGGCTTGTAAGGAGTCAAAGTGTCCCAAAATACTACCAACTCTTTAAAGTATCTCAAATACAAAAAGAAAGGAAGTAGACTTTTTAATTAAAAATGAATTAAAATTATACCCTTAAATGACGGTCACCACTAAACCAGTGAGTCGGCACATTTTTCAAATCTTTTAAGAATCGGACAAAAGCTCTTTATGTTAGCTGCTTTTTAGGATTTTAGCCTCTCTGATTTTAAAAGATTTACTATAAACTGGTTAAATGATGAGCAAATGGCTTAGTTTCATCAGCCAGCCCTTCATAAAAAATAATGACTTGCTGTGAAAAATCTCAATACTAAACATAAAAGACGAGAAATTTAACTATTTCTTCATAGAATAATTATCTACCGAGTTTCTACTTTGCCAAGGAGTCAAAGACAAGAAAAGACACAGGAATTCATTTAAATCCCATGTTTAGCAAAGGACTACCCCGCCCATTCCCTCACCCCCAATAGATTTTGAGTCCTTTAAAGCAAAGACTATGTTATCATTGTATTTTATAGTTGTAACATAAGTATATAAATTCTTAATATAATCCAATGACTATTACACACACATATGTATTGGTGTAAAACACCCAGATCAAGAAATTAGGTATTTACAACCTAGAAAGCCCTCTTGCCCTGTGTTTCAACCTTTTTATTGGTGTGTGATATACCATTATATGAGGGAACTGGTTCCCAACATACTTATCTGGAATACAGGCAGACATTTGTACTGTTTCTTATTTCTAGCTATTATGAATAAAGCTACTATGAATATCCTTGCACATGTCTTTGATGAACATAAGCACTCATTTCTCTGGAGTGTATACCAAGGAGTAGAACAGTTGAGTCACTGAGTAGGAATATAGTTAACTTCAGTAGAAACTGCCCGTTTTCCTAACTGATTTTACAATTTTATGTTTTCATTAGCAATGGATGAGTTTTAGCTGATCCACGTTCTTATGAACTGATACTTTTTTTTAATGGTATTTTTGCTATAGGGCACGTGTGCTTGCCAGAGAGACAGAGATAGAAAGTGAGAAATCATGTCGCAATCTCTTCTCCTCCATTCTCCTCTTGGAATTTTGGGCATGTACATACATGCACTCATCGTGAGTTTCAACTGGCCGGGTCCAGGACTTGAAATGTGGCAGACTATGTGGGAGCCCAGTACCTTAGTCACTATGTCATCTGCTGCTCCCAATATTGTCAGTCTTTTTAAATTTCAGTCATTCTAGTAGTATCTCATAATTTTACTTTACATTACTCTGATGACTAACTACTTTGAACACTTTTGGATGTATTATCCTCTTTTGTGAAATTCTGGATTTTTTACTCATGGGTAAAACTTTCTGATTTATGGAGGCTTTTTTTTTTAACATGATATATGATGTTTAGATATAGAATTTACAGGCTGAAAAGTTTCAAGTAAAACATTTATTTCTAATTGTCTTCCTCAAACAATAAATATTTATCTTAAAAATTATTCTATCCACTAAAACAAAATGGATAGTTTTTGGAAACCAGTCTTTTGTTGGATATATGTTCAAAGTTTATCTTTTCATTCTCTTAACTTCTGATGCACATTATTCTTAACATCAGTGGTGGCCAATTTAATAATCTATTCTTTTACGGTTAATGCTCATCTATTTAAGAAATATGTTTA